CTTCTTCAATAAGTGGTGCTGGGAAAACTGGACAGCTACATGTAAAAGAATGAAATTAGAACACTCCCTAACACCATACACAAAAATAAGCTCAAAATGGGTTAAAGACCTAAATGTAAGGCCAGACACCATCAAACTCTTAGAGGAAAACATAGGCAGAACACTCTATGACATAAATCACAGCAAGATCCTTTTTGACCCACCTCCTAGAGAAATGGAAATAAAAATAAAAATACACAAATGGGACCTAATGAAACTTAAAAGCTTTTGAATAGCAGAGGAAACCATAAAGAAGACAAAAAGACAACCCTCAGAATGAGAGAAAATATTTGCAAATGAAACAACTGACAAAGGATGAATCTCCAAAATTTACAAGCAGCTCATGCAGGTCAATATCAAAAAAAAACAAAAAACAAAAACAACCCAATCCAAAAATGGGCAGAAGACCTAAATAGGCATTTCTCCAAAGAAGATATACAGATGGCCAACAAACACATGAAAGGATACTCAACATCACTAATCATTAGAGAAACGGAAATCAAAACTACAATGAGGTATCACCTCACACTGGTCAGAATGGCCATCATCAAAAAATTTACAAACAATAAATGCTGGAGAGGGTGTGGAGAAAAGGGAACCATCTTGCACTGTTGGTGGGAATGTAAATTGATACAGCCAGTATGGAGAACTGTATGAAGATTCCTTAAAAAACTAAAAATAGAATTACCATATGACTCAGCAATCCCACTACTGGTCATATAAAACCTGAGAAAACCATAATTCAAAAAGAGTCACATACCACAATGTTCATTGCAGCTCTATTTACAATAGTGAGGACATGGAAGCAACCCAAGTATCCATCGACAGATTAATGGATAAAGAAGATGTGGTACATATATATAATGGAATATTACTCAGCCATAAAAAGAAACGAAATTGAGTTATCTGTAGTGATGTGGATGGCCAGAGAGTCTGTTATACAGTGTGAAGTATGTCAGAAAGAGAAAAACAAATACCGTATGCTAACACATATATATGGAATCTAAAAAAAAAAAAAAGGTTCTGAAGAACCTAGGGGCAGGACAGGAATAAAGACACAGACATAGAGAATGGGCTGAGGACACGGGAAGGGGGAAGGGTAAGCTGGGACGAAGTGAGAGAGTGGCATGGACTTATATATACTACCAAACGTAAAATAGCTAGTGGGAAACAGCCGCATAGCACAGGGAGATCAGCTCAATGCTTTGTCACCACCTAGCGGGATGTGATAGGGAGGGTCGGAGGGAGGCCCAAGAGGGAGGAGATATGGGGATATATGTATATGTATAGCTGATTCACTTTGTTATAAAGCAGAAACTAACACATTGTAAAGCAATTATACTCCAATAAAGATGTTAAAAAATATAAAATAAAATAAAATTTAGAAAAGTATATGTGGTAGTCAACTGCAAGGAAAAGAATTGCTAAATAGTACTTATACACTGAACGTGACCAGTATTACTCTCCTGTGGAATTCATTCTGTTGCTTTCTTAAATGCCTTCCCTCAGTAACACTTGATAGGCTGAAAATGATAGGAAAAACATGTATGATTTGGCTTAACTTTCACGTGGCACTGGTAAAGTAGTTAAATTGGAAAGGTAAGAATAACAGAATTCTAGAGTGTTACTGAGAGCACACTGCAATTCCCTTAGCGGATATTTACTGAATACCTATTACTTACCACACACTATGTAAGATACTAGGGATTTAATAGTGACAAGATGGACAAGTTACTTCCTGCCAGAGAGTTTAAAGTTTAATGAAAGATACAGACAAATAACCCATAATAATACATTTTGATAAATGCTGTAATGAGTAGTTCTCAACTGGGGGCAATTCTGCACCACCCACCTCGGGGTCATCTGGCAGTGTCTGGAGATATCTTTGGTTATCAGAACTTGGGGGAGAGGGATGTGCTACTGGAATCTAGTGGGTAGAGGCCAGGGATGCTGCTAAATATTCTATAACGTGGAGGACAATCTCTAAAACAAAGAATTATGTACATCAAAATGTCAACCATGCCAAGGTTGAGAAACCCTGCTCTAAAAGTACATAAGAGGTACATCAAATGTAGACATGGGAGATCAGAGATTTTCTAGAGACAGTGGCATGAAGGATGAAGAAAATATCCAAGCAATGGTGTGGAGAAGAATTTGCATGGCATGTACAGAGACCCAGAGGCTAGAAAAAACATGGCATAAACACAGGGATTAATAGCCATCACCATCACCACAACTACTTATTGAAGAAATATTTTGTGCCAGAGTTTCTATAAGATAACAGATATAAATTTTAAAATACAGTCCTCATTAAAATCCTATGTGTCAGATATTATTTCCATTTCACAAATGAAGAAAAACTGAGGCACAGAGAATTAAGTAACTTGCCCAAGGTCACACAGCTGGTGAATGGTGGAGCTGGAAGTTGAATCTAGGTCTCGCTAACTCTACTAAGACCATGCCCAACCTCTAAATTCTACTGCCTTTCCAAGCTGACAGGGGCTGAGTCTGTTGGAGGAGAGTAAAAAGTGACACTAAAGGGTCGAAAGGAAGCACATTAGGACAGACCTCATAAGCATGTGAAGTAGTTTGGAGATTACCCTGAAGGCAGTGGGAAATCACTGATGGATTTTAAATCAGAGAGTCACATGATCAAATCTGCTTTGAAGAAAGATCACTTCTAGCTGCATTGTAGGGAATGGAGTGAAGGAAAAGAGACAAGGGATGTTATAATTCATGAATCCAGAGATTATGGTATCCTGAACAAGAAAGGTGACAGTGCGGAAAGAATTCAAGCAAACTTCAGGAATTAAAACTTCTATTTAGTGACTGGTTGGAAGCCAAAGGAGAGGATGACATCCAGTTCCCAATCAGGGCATGACAGTGGACAAAAGTGCCATTCAGTGAGTAGAGCACACAGCTGTTTTGATGAAGTGAATATAATGAATTTAGTTTGAGATCATAAAGTTCACATCTAAATGGAAAGGGAAGAGGAACAGCCTGAAGATAATAGATAAAATGAGATATGAGCGGAGGTAGAAGAACTGGAGGCAGTTATGAGGACACTGAGTGAGAAAAGGCTCTGGTCAGAGAGATCAGTTTTAGAGTTTGAGATCTCGTGGACCCTTCAGTTCATGTGGGAGTTACAGAAGAACATAGAAAATGTCAGAGTTAAGGAAAGCAAAGTGTGTCAGGACTAAGATGTTGCATATGTTAACAGTATGGATGTGGAAACCTTTCAGAATGATGAAAAGAGATAAAGTAGAGGGTGCTATGGACTGAATGTTTGTGCCTCTCCAGAAGTCACATGTAGAAATCTAACCCCCAATATGATGGAATTAGATGGTGGGCCCTATGGGAGGTGATTAGGTCATGAAGGTGGAGCCCTCATGAATGGGATTAGTGCCCTTATAAAATAGACTTCAAAGAGTTCCCTTGCCCCTCCCACCATGTGAAGACACAGTGAGAAGACAGCTGTTTATGAACCAGAAGGTCAGCTCTCACCAAACACTGAATCTGCTAGTGCCTTGATCTTGGACTTCCCAGAACTGTGAGAAATAAATGTTTGTTGTTTAAGCCACCCTGTCTAAGGTGTCTTTGTTATAGCAGTCTGAAAGGACATAGACAAGGGGGAAAAGTGTCAGAGACTAAAGCTCTTAAAAAGTGTCAAAGATCTTACAACTATTTTATAAACCCAAGTGATGGATAATTTTCTTTAAAAAAAATTTCAAATAGTGTCTTCCAGATTGAGAGTTTATATTGACTAAAATTAGGGAGAGGAGAATCTACGATGATCTCAAAGAGAAGTGGTAAACTAATTTCAAAGAGGAGTTAGGAGTAGGTACGAAAGCAAAGGCCTGGAAACGGCAGTATGGGGTGATATGACTGCTGACCCCTGCATCACAGCCATATGAGATAAAATGAACAGCAAAGGGCTTCACTGGAGGTTTTGAGGGTCATAACATCAGCAAGGGACAGCTAGAGTCAGTCCAAATGAAGACGTAAGAGTGTTTGAGGAAACAAAATACATTAGGGCATTTGGTCAGAATGAACATAAGCTTCAAAAGGCATAGGGGCATTATGAGGGTCAAATGGTCTAGGAAGAGTTAAAGATGATCCAGACAGAGATAAATGGGTAAGGCAATGACTGAGGAGAAGCTTAATATAAAGGTGATTAGCCCAATAGTTTAATAAAATAGTGATGCTACTATATGGCTTAGACCAATGCTATCTAAAGCATTTTTTGTGATAATGGAAATGTTCTATATCTGCACTGACCAATACAGTAATCACTAGCTACACGTGGCTACTAAGTACTTGAAGCGTGGCTAGTGTGTTTAGGGAAAATACATAGCAACTTTAATGGTTTAAGGTGTGGCCCCCAAACACAGCAATGAATCATCAGTAACCTCCTACTATTCAAAGTGCTTAGAACACTGCCTGATCACTAAGTGTTAACTATTACTGTCATTATCATTATCATTAAGTGTGTTTGACTTAAGCACACAATGGATACAGACTCATAGCTAAAGATGCGATTAAATACACATATATTATTATTGTGGCATATCTGGATGTTCTCAAACTCTCCCAGGGACAGAGGAAAAACATCTGTCTTCACATACATGAGCATACACAAATGGGTGACTATGGGTGCTAATAGTTTCACTTCCCATTAAAAGTTATTGGCAAATAAAAAAGATTAAGCATACAAGTCTCTCAAAGTACTGTATCACATCATAAAAATACTATTCTTTCAATAGTGATACAGCAAGAGAATTTGCAGGGGAATAAGAATTCTCCAAAGAGCAAATTTGTTTAATTTAGAAAGTTAACATTAACAAACTGGTATTCACTTCGTGTGTTTGGAAAAAAGAGTTTAGTTATGGAGAATAACCAAACAAATACTCAGAAAAGAAAAAAAAGGCAATTATGGCATGCCTTTATTTTATTAGACTTGCCTTGGTTTTCTCAAAGTTGGCCTCCTCAGTCATTTGCACAGCTTGTTTCACCTGCTCATAAGCAATGACTTCTCTTTGCTGCACCTCTGTCAAGCTGCTCCTCACGGAAACTAGTGCAGACATTAAGTCATCTCTTTCTCTGTCAGCACAAAAAGAACATTGAAAACAACAACTGATCAAATGATCGTGTATTCATATGCCAGGAAGAAAAAAGCATTAATATGTATTAGAAGAAGAGCCAGGGCAGGCCAGCTCAGCATATATTCAAGCACACCCCAGAGAAAGACCCTCTGTCCTCACTTGGTGAGGGGCAGGCAGAGCAGTCAGAAAAGCCATGAGCATTCATGGCAGGACTGCATCCACGTGGGATAACAACCAATTATGGAGAGGACTGGCACACTGAGGGCTGGAGAGGGAAGCCCAGAAAAGAGGAAATTAATTTAAAAATTAAAAAGGTGGGGGGCGAAAAAGGAGAAAAAAGTAATAAAGTAGGGAAGGTGGGGATTCTACTTCAAAGTAGAAGTAACCATGGTAAGAAGGGACTACTGAGATTTTGTTTACACTGCCGACTCTCCTCTCTACTAGAACAACATATGTCCTTTCCTTTTCATCTTCCTTCACAGTCCTCTTTTTCACCCTTCTCTATGAATTAAAAACTTTCACCTACTTATGAACATATTTCTTCTTTCAATGGGTAGCACTGTTGAATCACTCAAGTGCCCTGGTTACACATATAATGCTCATTATTTTACAAAATCTTATCCCACGGGTTTTGACCCTTGCCTAGATCCATCCCTTCCTTAGCAATTTTCAGAAGTACCCTAGGCTAAGCTATTTCTTGGGGATAGAATTGAACAGAATGCCAAAATGCGTTGGCATGTAAAACAGCAAGGATCCAATCTTATGGATTAAATAATTCCATAAAAAAGTCTACATGGCCAGCCCAATGCCAGGCCTGAGTGAGCCTCTCACAATGGAAAATTTTACAAATTTACGTGATATATCAATGTGAGAATGAGAGGGCAGTTCTCCAAATTACCATATTCCAAGGCAAAAGTTCTTTAACTGCTTAAAAATACCATGGGAATATTTTGATGAATATGATCAAGGAGTTTTTCAAACAAAGCAAGCAAAGCAGCATTAACCCTGTAACATGCCATCATGATCCAGATGAAAGAGCAGCTGAGGCAGAAGATGAGGTAAGAAGCGTGGGTGTCAGTTCTGGGATGAACTAACGAGCATGTAGTATTTAAGGAACCTAGTGTAACAATCAGAGCAAAAAGGAGAAAGTGCCTGAATAATCTTGGCCAATGTTTAAAATAAGGAAAAGAGAGAGTTGGGCTGATATACACATGAGCTTCATCTTGAAATATGGAGTGCCTAAGAAGTGCCTTTAATTCTTAAGTTATTCCACAGTTGCTAGCAGTTTTAAGCTTTATTAAGCATTGTTAATAAGTATTATCACTGTTTTTAAAAAGAAAGTCTAGAAGGCTAACTACAACATTTCCTTCTTCCTCATTTCTGGGAAGCTCCTACCCATAGTCTTTCAAAGCCAGCTATACAGAAGATTGCCAATCACCCACCCCCAAGTCACAAGCTGGACTGAAGTCCCAGGATAGTACAGTAGTAATCATTTCTCCTGTCTGAAAAGTACACTGAAGCTCCTCCAAGGCACTATGAGCTACAGAAAGGAATTTAATATAAAGCAGTTCCACCCTGATTCCCATTTGAAAGTATTTTGATCATTAAGAAAGAAAGAGCGGT